CATATCAATAGACCTGTGTTTGTAATTAGGAGAGCGCCCTAGCCTGTAGGGTGCAAAAACTACTACTTCATCTCCGCCTGCCCTTCCCCTTGACTGCATTGTCGCACGCTCAGCCTCCTTATTTTTCCACTGTCCCTCAGCTCTTTTCCCTGCCACCGTCTCTCAGTCTCCTACCCCTCACTTCTACAGCAAGCTATATTACGTACTAGCGGGATACCCGGCGTTGCCCGGGGAAATCAGTGGCGTTACTCAGTTGGTGACCGCTTGGTTGAAAGGAAAATACCAAAAAAATCAAACTATCTATCTATCCATGCATTCATCTATGCATCAATCTATCCATCCTATTCCATGCCATTCCATCTCATCCCATGCCATCCTATCTCATCCCATCTCATGCCATCCCATGACATGCCATTAATTCCATATGCCATCCCATCCCATTGCACCGCATCCCATCCCATCCCATCCCATGCCATGCCATGCCATGCCATCCCATCCCATCGCATGCCATCCCATGCCATCCCAAACAGTAAAAAATAATAAGAAATAAAAATATAAAAGACATTAAATATAAAAATATAAAAATAAAAAAGTAAAAAATAAAAAATAATACATACTAAAGAGGTAGGTAAAGGAGAAAAAAGGAAAAAAGGGGAAAATAAGTTCCCCAGCTGGGACTCAAACACGGAATCTTCTAGCGATTAAGCCACTGCGCTATGATTTATATGCTCTGGGTATTCCCATGGATTCACACGTACCCCTACGTGATGTTAATCTGTACGCACCGCCATGCATCTATTGATGAATAGAATTTTTATAAACTTTTAACTTTTAACTTTTTTAAAGTTTCAGCAAGAAGCATCTCCCAGACGTGCTGATTCTGAAAATATTTTTAGTTTTCCTCTAGGCTGCGGAGTTCTCTAGTTATGCGAGTACGAACTAATTCGGCTGAACAACTTTATATATATATATATATAGACTTATCTTTGAACCCTACTGCACGCCTGAAACGGTGCTCGCGCATGCGCAATATTTCCCGAGAAGAATAGTTTTTTGCAAAAATTATGAATTTAAAATGAAGAGGGGTTATCCTACTATAGATTTTTATGATAAAAGTCCATCAGCAGACCTGATTCGCGCGGGTGTCTACCTACACGTGTGCGAGGGTCTGTGCATGGGTAGGCCTATGCGCACACGTTCCTATGCGAGTATAGCTCACTCATCCCCCTCCCAAACTTCAGTGCCTTCGCAAACATGGATGCCAAGAATGGACTTATTAAAACCTACATTCTGACTCTGTCAGTAATTCAGTAGAAAAGAACCTACAGTGCTACACAACGCTACGCCTCTAGTACAATATGAATATAATTGTACCATTAACTGCTATTTTCACCGCCTGGTGGCGGTATTGATCATATAGAAGCTCTGTTCTTGTGGTTCCAGTGACAGGGCACGTGATCAATTTTTTATGTAAGTATATATTGTAAATATCGAACTAATGTATTTGTTTAAACGTAAGTTGAACCTTCAAGGCATTCCTGTTTTATATAGTTACCGGGACGTATTTTAGAGCTATAATAGATTCATAAGGCGTTGAAGGTATTGAACTTCAATTATTCGTGTGTTAAAAATCGACAGTCTCTGGATGAAGGGTAGAACTAGAGTAGAGCTAGAAATTAGAATTGTAGAAATCACTTGGACTTGACTTGAAGGACTTTTAGTTTTAGGAGTTCTAACCGAGTAACTCAAATGACAAATCAACACTAAACCTAAACTTGATGGTATACTAGAATAGCGCTAGATCATAGAAATTTATAAAATCTTGCACTATAATCTATCCTAGAACTTAGAGAAGTAGAATCACGTCAGGGTCATACAATTTTCTAGAGTATTGGGTCCGTTTACAAGTCTGCAGGCTCAAGTTTCAAGAAGAGTATAAGACTATATTAAGACTAAGAGTAAGAGTCTATCTTAATATAGTCTTATACTCTTCTTGAAACTTGAGCCTTCAAGGGCCTGTGGTCAGTCACACCTTCCACAGGTACAGGAGTCAGGACCCAGAAGAGAGAATATTGTTAACTCAAAGGACGTGGATATTCGCCTGAGCATCGGACACCTGTTCGTATGCGCTATTCGTCCGAGCAGTTGTTGCGCATGCGCTGTTCATGTTGTATTACATAAATGTAATATAATGCTAGTCTAGGGAGGCGCCTACTCCCTAACACTAACTATAAACCGACTAGGTTCTATTATTATAAGCTCGGTTTCGTATATATATACGCGAGTGATAGTACCAAACACTATCTATGTTGTATAACCACATACCCAACACATGTATGCAGGGGCGTCACAGCCGTAGGGCTGCCGTAGCAAAACGCTACGGGCCCCCAGCCTAAAGGGCATAAAATAATCAAAAATCTAAAGGGTAAATAGCATTTTAAAGCGTCTAGATTTAAAAATTGCCTGGGGGAGACCACCCAGACACCCCCTCTTCACACTTCCTACCTACGGCACTCGTTCCGTGCGCCTGCGGCATGCAACATGAACAGCGCATGCGCAACAACTGCTCGGACGAATAGCGAATACAAACAGGTGTCCGATGCTCGGACGAATATCAACTTCGTAACTCAAATGGCACACTTCAAAGTGTCGTTAACTCTGAAATATAATATAATTTCCCATTAGAGTTATCAGAGATGCCAACCACTACGATTTATTCGTATTTTATACGAATTTCTATTCCTTTTGCACCACTACGACCAGTTTGTATCAAACTACGAATTTCACTATGATTGAAAAAATATATATTTTTGTCAATTATTGTCATTTTTTGTCTATTTATTGTCATTTTTTGTTTATTTATTGTCATTTTTGACCCTCAGAATGCACAAAATTGCATCTCAGAATCAAAAGATTTTTCGGGGGGCTTGCCGGACCCCCCTAGCAAACTCGGGTCACTACGTGACCCTCGAACTACTAATTTGATGGCCAGAAACTACAGATTGCTTCAAATTTATATGTGTTGGCATCTGTGAGTTATAGTGCATATCTTTGTTTGGAAAGAAATACGATTTGGTTTATAACATCTCAACAGAGTAACCAAGTTGTCATTGTTGAAGATATGTGTTTTTGTTTTGTTTATATCTCTAAAAATACTAAAATACTTGAGAAAAACTTGTCTTTGCTTAAAAGCGAATGAAGCGACCTCTAATGCAGAATTCCGAATTAAACCTAGCCATAGTCAAATACTCGCTGATTTATGGCCGTACTAGGTATTTTTCTTTGCTTTTTTCAGAATGCTTTGCATATTTAAAATAAAATAATGTGGAGCTGACGTGGCAGACTCGGCTGTATATTCATGTGCACTATGAATATATAAGTATATTGCCTCAAAAGAGATAGGGAGAGAATAGGTGCTGCAGAGAAAAGTCGTTTTTCATGTCATTATTGGTAAGTTGTAACAACTGTGTAAAGTATAACACACGGATGTCAATTTTGAACTGTACCATGTAATGTCCCAAACATTGGATTTCATCATGTGTGCATATTTAAATATCATTTATATATTTAAATGTCTATGTCCTATATAAATCTGGGCTTATTTAAATACACATAAAGGTTAAAGGTATGCAGTGCAGCAGTTGGGAAAAATATGGCACATTTAAAAACATACATGTATAATTGTTAACATTTAACAAAGCATGCGAGAGGTAACCTTAAATATATTATGAGTGCATCATGAAGATCTTACGTTTTCTCCACAGTTTAGTTAGAATATATATATACATATATAAATATATATATAGCACCCCTTAATTTTATTATCCCTTGTTTATAAGTTTATATTTTCATACTGTGACTCACTTCCCCTGCTATTGCTTCAAGCAAGTGCATGTTACAGTTGAGCCTGTGCATGCTTTGTGAAATTACACGGGCATATATCTGTGCATATAGAATCCACTCCCTTTATCATCCTATGATACCCAGTGTGCTCTACTGCGTTGGCACCGTATACATAACCTTTCCATGAGTACCAACTGTGTGTGTGGATTTTATTTTTCCATTTTCGGTGTGCAGTGCTACCGCTGCTTGCCCTGTTTCAAGACTAGAGTTAGTGTAAGCAGCTCTAAGCTGGACGAGACAGAGTCATCAATGGAGTCTTTTGTGAAATTGGTAAGACTCGAAGAATGGAAGGGATGCAAAGCTTTCCCACTTGTGGAAATGTGTAATGGTTGCATGTTTGGTTGGTTTCACTATTATTGCACATAAGGTATACTGCATACCTTATATTTTGAACCTACTATTTGCACTTCCTTCATATGCTCCAGTCCTCATTAGAATAAGGCATGTGTATTGTGTACTAAAAAGAATGATAACAATTAAATTTGTGTGAGTCCAGTATTTTGTTGTTTGTAATGTACATCTCCCTAAGTAGCCATAAATGTAAATTCACTAATTCAGGGTTGGAAATTAGGGCACCAAGCAGCAGTTTTGATGCCTGCAAGGGTCAGTTTGCTGCCTGCTCACAGCGTCGGCAGCAAATACTTGCTGCCAAAGAATTCCTAATTAACCATATTAAAAGCACCAAAGATTCTGCTTGGCTGAGTAAATTTGCTGCCTGCGTTTTTCTCTGGCAGTAACTACTTGCTGCTTGGTAGAAATGTTGATTTTTAACCCTGCTACTTGGTTGTATACCAGTGACACGGCTAGAGAGATATATGATTGTCTTTTTAACGTCCTGTCCAGAAGACGACTGCCCAAATTTGGAATGACAAATTCATTGACAGCCAAACGTTTTGTCCAAAAAAAGGTTATGTGCCATGTTTGAACAGAAATGCATTGATAAATGTATTAGAATTACTCAGAAATGTGTCTGATTGGAGACAATTGCATCACATTTTCAAAACATCATGGAGGCATGCCTCTTGATTATAGCGGCTTCATAAGTTTAAAGCTTCCATTCTGTCCCACTACAACTTTGTGTTTTCAAATCTCAGAAAAATCCCTATTATATACTACTGTGTTACTAAATTAATGTTGTTCCAACACAGTTTTTAATAGAAAACCACACCAATGAAATCAATGTGTCAACTTCCACTACCTTCTGCACTGGGAGGTTATCTCTGCAGAAAAAGTAATGCAAACTTATTGATATTAAACCTATTATTCTCTGCATTGATGTTTTGCGCGTGTGTTTGCCTACTGATATCATTTTCGCTGTTATTTAGGTGCTTCAGTTTGTGGTTAACCTGTATTCCACAACATTCTGCTGCTAAAGTTTAAAAAATACTCACGTTTGTTGCATATTTTTCGCTTATTAAAAATATTCAATGTTTCATACTGTAACCATGCTTACAATTTCTTATAGCTAAGAAAGGGGTTTCACTGTAATTATATAAGTAAAACTCATCTCTTGATCATTAATTTGTTCTCAATATTTTCTCATGTCTAGTATAACAACACCTTAAGAAAACAAACACGTCATGTATCAAGCTATTATAATGCGTATCTTGTTTACTCATCACTAAATATAATCGCAGGGGAAAAAAAATTCTGTTGATAACTTGATATTAGAAATTGCAGTAATACAGCTCGTAGGTGAAGTTGTTGTTAGGGTGGTGTAATGTTATCAGGAGTGTATAATATAGAGAATCTGTTATTCCAATGTTAATAGCAAAAGGACGCAGGAACTATATTGGAAGCTTTTCCATTGCTGCCATTATCCGTCGACAGGATGAATCAATACAGGGCGAACGTCGCTGACTATGAACTAAAGACTGTCATAGGTATAATGTCTTAACACGGAGAGAAGTGAAGAAAAAATTAATAAAATAATGAACTCTGATGAGACATTAACACAGTAATCCTATGGGTTTACACAATATCAACACTGTTAGTCTATGATATTATTTAGGCTACTGTAAGAAAAGTTGAATTCCTAAAAAAAATTATGTGAGCATGCATCAATGCTACATATGTTTCAGGTATTGATGTTTCTTTTAATCAAATTTCTTTGCTTGAAATCTATTGTGATGATATTTTACAAGAAATGTTTAATGATTATTGCAAATCAACGAAGTCTGTTATGTTATGCAGGTAGAGGGTTCAGTGGTGCTACCACTATCTCACTCGCAAGGCACCGGCCATCCAAATCTTTGGTGGCTGTTAGGAAAACCAACCTGGAGCTTTCTGCAGAAGATGTTCTACTTGTGCAAGTAAGAGCATAAAGATACACTCAAACCAATTACCATGTACCACCAGTTACAACAATTCTTATGAGGCATGGCTGCAGAGTGGGATTTGTTCAATATCCCTTTGAGAATTAATAATAAATCAAAATAGTTATGCAAGTGTCGGTGTTAATATTGGTACTTGGGTGCTACATCTTTAATTTATTTAATGTTTAAATATTTTTTTGGTAAAGTAGATTTTTTTTTTATGGCAATGGACTATTTTTACCAAATCGCGACATCAGTATTTCGTGACATGAAAATAATATATAAACAGTGCTCTTGGTATGGTTGTCTGAAATGTTTAACCATGTGATGTTACAGCAACACTGTTTGTTTATTTGTCAGGTATTATTATTAATCATGATGTTGATGTGCCTTATTGTTTGAAGTAGAAGCCTAGGCAATCTCTACAGGAATGAAAATCCATTGTTCTACCCCATGTGGGTTCGACCATCTTATGAATATTGAGCTACAAAGTTGGTGACGGACTAAGTTGATGTTGTTAACTGGTTTCAGAATGAGATAACAGTAACTAGGCAGCTGAGTCATCCCAATTTATTGCCATACTACTGCACTATAGTCATCAACAGGGAAGTGTGGACGATCGCTCCTGTCATGGCCTATGGTAATATATAATAATAACATATGTAATATGTTACATATATATATATATATATATATATAATGTTTATACAGTATAATTTGATTATGAGATAATTGCCAAATTTGTACTGGCATGACAGTTTGCCAAGTTTAGTCTGTTTTTGACAATCTACATGGTTCACTGCATGGACTTGTCACGAGGTGGCAGTTGTTGTGTGGTGCATGCAATGAACATAGAACAAAGCTAATATCAAGAGCTAATAAACACCTAGAGTGTACAACGGAAAAACGGGAAAATAGTGCTATTTCACGGCAATGTTATTCTACTTTGCCTGCGAGTCTAGAATAATTTTATGGTATTGCATTAAGTAGAATTCTTTGCTCTCTAAAACAAGACCAACCGCTTGTCAATACGATACTCCTAGGTCGAGATATTGGCTCGTAAACTTCCCCTCCCACAGGCCTCACGGCGCCTCGCATCCACAATATTCACTATGCTTCTCGCCTTTTGAGGGTTAGGAAAGTCGCTTCGTGAGAGTTCGGTTATTCCGCGATAATTTTATGAATGAACGGCGTTTCGGTTATCATCGGTGACTTTCGGGGGTATTGCCTATGCCCTTATCTCCCATTATCATTCCTAGCACGACTAATGCCTGTCATGATGGAGACGGCAATGTTTTCTAAATTAAGTCTCTACAACGCAGCTCAGTTACTATATGGTGTAGTAAGAGCAAAGATCATATACAATAAGATGGGACAGCCGCTATGCTTGCCATACAGTT